TGAGAAATAGTACAAATGTTCAAATAAAAGATTTATGGCAACCTTATTGATGAATTTTAAGGTTTAATGATGAATTTTGCCACCCTTCAAATTTTAAAAGATTTATGGCATCAATCATTCAATTCTTCTACTAATTTGTTGCTAACTTTATTGATTTTAAAATTTAAGGTATTATTTATTTAATTCTTATTTTATTATTTTGATAATTTAATTTTTATTTTAAAGGGACTTTTTCAGGACTATTATAGTCAAGTAACCCTAAAATAGTTAGAACTTAATAGTTACACATTCACATTCAGGTCTTGACATGTGATCCTAGAAAGAGATAACATTTGAGTTTGTTGCTTTCTCTAATGTTAATATAAATGATATGTAATTTTTATAAAATTAATTTAAAGTCATAGAATATCCCATTGAAAGTTTATTAAATAAAAGACCTAAAAAATTTTGTAAAATTAATTCATTTGGTTTGCTTGTAAAAAGATATTCTTATTTATTTCTTCTAGTTAGTATATCCAAATATATTTAAAAGAAAATCTTATTACCTAAAAATACATTTTATAGGATGGTTCACCCTTTAACCTGGCCACTATTTGATTTTTCCAACAACAACTCTTAGAAGGAAAATTATTAATATTCAAGGGCAAAACTAAGATTCAAAGCTAAAGAAAACAAAGAACAAACTACTAAAAAATTTCTAGGAATATTTTGATGATTGGAGTTGTGGGTCAATGATGATGAAGCTGAAACTAACATTATATGTAAAGTTTTTAGTGATTGGAGTTGTGGGTCGATAAAAATTTAAAATTTTAAGTTTATATTCCAATACATTTGTTATACCTATAAATATAATGTTTAAATGAAATAATATTTTAATTAGAACAATAGACTTTAAACACAAAGCATGAAAGTCATAGATCGAGTCTGAAGTAAAATTTTCATTTTCTTTTAAAGAAAGCAAATGGAAAAAATAAAAAGGGAGAAAATATCTCTAATTCTTTACTAGTAATTATATTATTCAGCATTTCATCCAAAAAATCTCAAAGTCTCTTGAACTTAATATTTATTTTGGAGGTAAAATATGAAATATAACAAACAAACTTATTAATACGTTCAAGAATATTTTTTTATTTTTTTTATTTTTATACTACCTTCAAGAATTTTAAGATTTAAGGTATCAACATGTAATTCTTTATTTTGATAATTTTAATTCAAATTAATTGGGGATTCTATATTTTTTTAAAAAAAAAAAGCTAGAGAAGAGATATATAAGTCTAGTTTTGTTCAGATGGAATGAATATTGACTTCTAAAGATAATTTAATTTATCATATAACAAATTTAATTACTATCAAATGATTTTTTTTTTGTTTGTAGATTCGAAATGTGGTTTAGTTATACTCGTTAGATATAACAAACTTCACAAATCACCTAATATTTTGAAAACTTATAAAAAATAAAAAATATTTTAAAAACAAAAAAAATTATAAAAAATAAATAATAGAAAATATTTTACCCCCCTATACTCAGCAAGTATAATGGAAAACTTAAGGTTGACTTGTGAATCTTGTCAACCTTCAAACTTTGAAAGATCTAAGGCATCAATCATTTAATTCATCTACTAATTTTTGCTTTTCTTAAAAATATTTAAAGATTAGAGGCATTATTTATTTAATCTTTATTTTATTATTTTGATTATTTAGTTTCTAATTTAGGGGGGTTTCATTATTATTTTAAGAGTATTTTTTATGCTTGGAGTTATAGATAACAAAACAAATAATAATGAATTTTATTTTTTTAATAATTTGATGGAAATTCTTTTGTTGTTTCAAAACAATTAAATTTATATCTAATTACAATCAAAATGAAAGAAAAGGACTTGTGAAATCTTGATTTGATAACCCAAATTAACCTTAAATTTATGTCTTATTCCTTTCTTTTTTATTTTTATACTACCTTCAAAAATCTTAAAATTTAAGGTATTAACCATTTAAGTCTTTATTTTAATAAATAAACCTATAAAACATGAATTCATGATGATAATAACCAATTAATTGATTAATTTACTCTTCGATCAACATTTTACTTTAGATGATTTTGGTGATGTGGTTTGCTTCCCACACTATTTATCCAACGTTCAATTCGAATGAAAAACCTCAAGATTTTGTTTTTATAAAATCAACAATTTATATGAATGGATAGACTTTTAAGGAATGATTTAATCTGCTTATTCAATTGAACATTTTTTAGAATTTGTTTGAGTTTATTGGTTATTTGGCTTTGTTTTATTGAGTTGATTTTTCCATCAACAACTCCTTTAAGGACCATTATTAATATTTAAGGGAAAAAACAAGATTTAAAAGCTACAAGAAAACAAAGAACAAACTACTAAAAATTTCAAGAAATATCTTTGAAGATTGAAGTTGTGGGTCAGTGATGATGAAGTTGGAATTAACATTATATGTCAATTTTTCAATGACTGGAGTTGTGGCTCAAATGCAAATTTATGATTTTAAGTTCATATTCCAATTTATTTAATCTACCTATAAATATAATGTTTAAATGAAATTTTTTTTAAATATCAAGCATAAAAATCATTGATCAAGTTTGAAGCAAAATTCTCAATTTCTTTTAAAATAAATAAATAAATAAATATCTTTAATTCTTTATTAATAAGTATCATTTCACATTTCATTCAAAAAATCTCAAAGTCTTCTTGAACTTAATATTTATTTTAAATGCAAAATATGAGATATAACTAACACACTTACTAACATGTTCAGAAATATTTTTTACTTTCTTTTTTTATTTTTATACTACCTTCAAGAATCTTAAAGCATTAATAATATAATTCTTTATTTTGATCATTTTCATTCAAATTAAATGGGGATTCTACAAAATAAGCTTTTAAAAAAATATATGAAAAGAAATAATAGAATTATTTTTTTTCCATGCACTCACCAAGTATATAGAAAAAAACTTAAGTTTGAATAATGAATCTTGTCAACCTTCAAACTTTGAAAGATTTAAAGCACAAGTCATTTAATTCACCTACTAATTTTGCTCACCTTGAAATATTTAAAGAATAGAAGAATTATTTATTTAATCTTAAAGAATTGAAGTATTATTTATTTAATCTTTATTTTATTATTTTAATTATTTAGTTTCTAATTTAAGGGAGTTTCATAATTATTTTAAGAGCATTTTTTATTTTTTAAAATATTTGATGGAAGTTCTTTTGATGTTTCAAAACAATTAAATTTATATCTTATTACAATCAAAATGAAAAAAGAAAAAAGAAAAATAGTTAGGGAAGAGGTATATAAATCTGGTTTTGTTTGGATGGAATGAATATGGACTTCTAAAGATAACTTAACTTATCATATTACAAATTTAATTAATATTAAATGATTCATTTTATTTTTTATATAGATTAGAGATGTGATTTAGTTATACTTGTTAGATATAACAAACTTCATAAATCACCTTAAGCTTTAAAAACTATGTTTTTTTTTAAAAAAATAAAAAATTATGAAAAGAAATAATAGAAAATATTTTTTTTTCCATGCACTCACAAGGTATATTATGAATTGTGAATCTTGTCAACCTTCAAACTTTGAAAGATTCAGAGCACAAATCATTTAATTCCTCAACTAATTTTTGCTCACCTTGAAATATTTAAAGAATTGGGTCATTATTTATTTGATCTTTATTTTATTATTTTGATTATTTAGTTTCTAATTTAAGGGGGTTTTATAATTATTTTAAGAGTATTTTTTATGCTTGGAGTTATAGAAAAAAAAAAAACAATGAATTTTATTTTTTAAAATAGTTGATGGAAGTTCTTTTGATGTTTCAAAACAATTAAATTGATATCTTATTACAATCAAAATGAAAAAGGAAAAAAGAAAAGGAAAAGGAAAAAGAAAAGGACTTGTGACATCTTGATTTGAAAACCCAAATTAACCTAAAATGTATTAGAAAGTAGTGCAGTGTAGAAAGACTTTTCAAGTCCAGTAAGCACAAAAATCATCAACACATTGCTTATACTTTCCTAAATATAAACAGAGACAAGCAAAGCAAAGATCAGAGAACACTGCTTCAGTAAAGCTGCAAGAAAGGAAGCATGAAGAATTGAGATGCGCAATTAGCAAAGAAGTAAAACAAACCATACATCTCAAGGAAAAATGCAACATCCAACTCATAACCCTTGTAGTTGGGCTATATTTTGAGCATCCAAGTTCACCTTTCTATTCCTTTGTCTGCTCAGCTAGAAAAGATCTTCATCTTTCAAGTTAGTGATCAGTCTTCAATGGCTCAACATACTTGAAAAATATAGCCCAAACTACAGACCAGTTTCAAACAGTTGGCTTGGTTGAAGAATGAAGGCCCCGACCCGGCCAATTAAATATACAACCCATTTGTTACACTCTCTATAGCTAACAGTAGCAGCAGTATTCAAGTTCCACAATTAGTTTCCATAACTCCATCGCAAACGGTGAGTGCATGGGAAATCTAAGAAACCATTTTAGTTCAAAGATAAATGGTGGAGTTTCAGAAACTAAAAGCTAAACGAAGATCCTGCTACTACATTTTTTACAAAGAACAAATTTCAAACAGATTCTGAATACATGGAAATCAAGTCAACCAAGACCAACTATTTGAAACCAAAGAGGCTTATGGGCTGGACATTCACATAAAAAAATAGCTCATTCAATGCAATTGTCATAGCCTAATGATTGCAAGAATATCGAAACTAACAGCAGCATACAACACTGAAAGTATAAGAGCTAAGAAAATGCTATCTTTCTGTACATTTCAAATCACCAAAGAAGAAAGGACTTAGATTTCTATTTGGGATGGAAGGGCACAACTAAAATATAAGCATCAACTAACTACTTCAAATATTATGAAATAATTCATACTGAAGTTAGCATTTCAAAATAATTTTGTCAGTTTGAACATTGAAAAGATTTGATGGAACAAGAGAGCATACCTTGGTCATTAGCATCATTGAAAAGATTTGATGGAACAAGAGATCATACCTTGGTCACTCGCATCAACTAGCTTCTTTATAGGTATAAGTTTTGCCACCCATATTCAGAGCCTACAGCAACATTTGCACTTTGTGTAATAACACAATCCACATATATGTCAAATTAGAATCTTTACAGAAACTTCATCAGCATTATTAGCGTGATTAGGTGAAGATACTACAATGAGATAAATTCCAAGATGAAAGCAAAATGTATGGAATAATACACCAAGAAACAATTACCTTCTGCCCATGAACCTTTTCCAAGGTTCTGGATTTTGTCTCTTTGCCAAAGACCTAAATTTTGAACTACTAACTGACACTATGAATGAAGAGCAAGAGATTCTTATGGGAAAGGTTTCCTCTTACACACCCATGAAGAACTTACAGATCGTTGGAGAGGAAAGGTTTATCATGAAATCTACATATTCATGACCCAGACCGTTGAATTTCTATAATTACATTTTCCATGAGATAACATCTTTAACGCTTTATATACAATAAAAATTTACTTATGTTAGACAGCATGATGACAGGGCAATATGGCATTTGCGCTTCTAATTGAAACAAAAGCATCGCAACAAAGAAAACCTTTTAATTCCTATTTCATCAACCACTTACATCACAGATGACATCCACAGCCAAAAGAGATGCCACCGTCAACAGGGGAAACAAAGGTTTCATTTATATCATTTTAATTCTTTTTCAGTGCAAGAATGGAACAAATCATTTCATTTTACTGAATTGCCAAAAAAATAATACTAGTGGAAGGTAATGATAGGCCGTGATTGATGACAGGCTAAGCAGACATCAGAGCATGTCAGAAATTTTATGTCAACAGAGAAGAAACTGATACTCAGATAGCGAGTCTTGAACTAAAAGATGTAGCCAAGAGCCTTACAAGCTGGATAGTATTCAACCTCAAGATGATCTCAGTATCAAGCAGAAACTAGCATCCTTGCACAAACAAGCATAGAAAAAAAAGATAATGATTTAACTTACAGCAAGTTCATCATACTCATCTTTACCAACAATGAAAATGCTGACATCCCCAAGCACTTTGTACACTCGGCAAGAAAAATATAACATAAATAATTCAAGTACAATTCACTAAAAGGGAAAAAATCCTGAGTCAAGTTATTGAAAAAATTAGAAACTGCTGGTTTCTGATAACAATTCTATACTATTACAGAAAGTAGAAGAACAAGGAATAGTCCGTGCCAACACTGCAACTGAACTTTTTTTGATCTACTTTTCTACCTGAAGTAATAGAACCATAAAAGGAAAGGTTTCTGATACAACTGAAACGCTATCTGAATAGTGATAAAAAAAACTTTTGTTTGGCATGTAACATCATCAATTTGGCAGTTTAATTAGTTCTGTTTTCCTTGGTGAAACTTTTGAACTGTCTATTAGTACCTTAACCAAGAGACTGGATCAAAATGTGGCGAAGCTGAGTCATCCGTGATATACTTGATGGATTGAATACTATAAGAAATATGATATACCCAACAAGCACCTAGAAGTGGATTGTTGAAGAATTAACATGTACTGATCAATGAGTCATAATTTGCATGAGCAACCGTTGCCTATATTATCCCTATACGATCCTGCAGAACTGCCTCTTCATATTATCAGAGTTCCACAATTTACTCTAAAGCAGACATGACTAGACTAAAATTTATGAACTGAAAAGCAAAAAACTGTGTTTCCCAAACTGAGAGTAGATACTACAAGATGAGAAAATCCAGGATTCATAATTTCCAAAAACAAAAGTTTATATATACATATAAGCCACACCACCATTTTAAGTGTACAGTGAACATCAATTATTCATTACACCAAAAACCACCTCAACTAAATGGGAAAGAAAACATGAAAATGATAGGGAAGAAAGAAAACATGTTTCATTGAGTTCCATTTTTAAGATCATTTTGTATGGAAAGATACGCAATGCAAGTACTCATTTTCAACTTAAAATAAATAAAATTAGGAAAGGTTAATTTTTTAGCATTTCAATTTCCTGCTCCCAATTGACATAATTAGCAAGCAAACAATTTTGTTGATAGCAAATAGGTAACACAATCTGGCAGGAGAAAGCTCAAACATACGATACTTAGAGAATTCTTTTGCTATGGACAGAGGTTAATAACACAAACATAAACATAAACAAAAATTCAAATTATAGTAAAAAAATTTGCAAGAAAATGAGAAACCAATTTAAAAAAAATTAAACCCCATTAAATAGGAAGTGAAATTAAAATCTAACCAATTAAAGGGTTTCTTGTTCTTATAATCCTAATTCTTTAAAAGTAAGAATTAAATGAAAGAATATAAGCACCTTGAAATCTAAAAGATCCAAAAAACATCAACTTTGAAAATTCTCCACCCCCTTAATAAATTCCAGAAATCAATCAGGGAAACAAGACAAAGTTTACATGCAAATCGGTAGAATATGATCAAAACAAATCATAGAATCACAAGATATTAAAGACACTCTCCCTTAGAAAACAAATTGTATAATTATACCAAGAGAAGGAGAGATGGGTACTTACAGAGAATCTGAGTATCATGAACACTCTCCCTCATAGCGAATTTGAAATTCGCTATGATCACATGAAAAATCAAACTTCATATAGAGATTTTTAACAGCTAAAACAAAAATGTTGTTTCTAAAGAGAAAGAGAGAGTTTTTCTTTTTAAGAAATTGAAAAAAGTTGAGATTTAGAGAGAGACTGGATTTATATAGTGGAAGAGAATTTCAGAGAATTCAAAAAATATTCGACCGTTGCATGAACTGAACGAACGACACTACATTTGGTTTTTCTCTTGCTTTAGACTGGTCAAGGAAAATTTTCTAAACGACGACTGGATTTATTGGGACTTAGTTTGGGAAACTAATTAAACACTTTTATTTAAAGCCAATTATGAATAAAATTGATTAGGTTTTATTAAAGTTGGGTGAGAGCTCCTCTCATCCCATCACACACTCAATATTTGGTTTTATTTAATATTACAATTCATGGATGAAGATTTATTATTTTTATGCTTTAGTTCCTTATGTTGTGATTTTGTGCATCATAATAATTCTATTTCTTGGAGGCGTTATATCTATATATAAAAAACTTAAGGCCATATAACCTAATATGATTTATTAGTATTTTAAAATTTAAAATTTTTTAAAAATATTATCGTAATATATAAAAAAATTGTCAGAAAACTTAAGGTTGAGTGGTAAATCTTGTCACCTTTCAAACTCGGAAAGATATAAGATATTAATATTTTAATTCTTCTACTAATTTGTTACTCACCTTCAAATATTTAAAGATTTGAGGCATTATTTATTTAATTTTTATTTTGATTATTTAGTTTTTAATTTAAGGTGTTTCATAATTATTTTTAGAGTATTTTTTATGCTTCGAATTATAAAAAAACAAAACAAATAACAATGTATTTTATTATAAGAGTATTTACTTAATTTTTCCAAAACTTGGGTTAATAAAAAATTATAGTCATACTCATAAAACACTATTTATTTAAATAATATTTTGTATAATTATTTTTTTGATATTTTTTAATTTTCACTATTCAACAATCCAATTTTTTTTTAGTCTTATCCTTGAATATTAAGTTATTGTAAGACTTATGCTTTACATTTTTTTTTTATTTTTTATTAAATTGTCACAATCTCATGTTCTGGATCATGAAGTTTTTTTTCTATTAAATATTTTTTTAATTGGACTTTGTAATTGTTTTTAATTTACTTCCTATGAAATTAGGCTCATGAATTCAAAAGTTAACTCAGGTTAATTCGATTTTTTTTGTCTTTTAAATTAATTTATTTTTTCAATTTCACCTTCCAACATCTCAATTGTTTTATTCAATTTCACCATTTAATTTTAGATTATTTGTGAATTGAATTTTGTAATTTTTTCAATTTACTTTTTATAAAGTTATCCCAAATCTTATAGATATGTTTTTTATTCCTTGATTTTAACCTTTAACATTGCATATGTTGGAAATTGAGTTTTTTAATTTTTTTTTATGAAGTCATCTCAGTTTAATAATCTTAGTTGTATATTTAACAAGTTAACTCGAGTTCATTTAAATTATTATTTTATTAATTTTTTTAATAATTTTATCATTTAACATTAGTTTAATTAAAAAATAAAATTTTTAATTTTTATTATTTATTTTCTATAAAATTATCATGATATTATGATCATTATCTCAATTTTTATAGTGGTTTAATCTAATTGCCTAGTCCACTCCCCCCCGCCCACAGAAATTTCTACCTCCCCTCTCCCCTCAAATAATAAAAAAAAACCTTAATATCTTTTAAGCTTGTCAAAGCTCATTACTGATTTTTCATTTGGTTTTCTAGTAAAAGGATATTTTTATTTATTTCTTCAAGGTAGCATATCCAAATATATTTAAAAGAAAATCTTATTACGGAAAAATACATTGTAAAAAAAAAATCACTTGTAAAAATTAATGATTTGGTTCATCAAAATAATGAATAGTTGAACCCTTAGGACAAGAACTTCTTTATATATATATATATGACAAATCATTAATCTTTTTAAACATAGAAAATACATATTTCATCATATCCCCCTCTATCAAATATATTATACGTAGATGCATGAAGCATAAATCTCCTCCAATCAAAACACAGGTTATTTGTCCATAAAAAACATGTTGAATATTTCTTCTTTTACCATTTGCAAATTCAATATACTTTTAATAGTATTCTAAGCCAAATTCTATTTAGCCGAAATGCTTGCAAGTAGAATATGCTAAATCTTATTTAGCTGAAATGCTTGCAAGTAGAATATGCTAAATCATAAAAGATTTATTGAAATTGATGATACCTCTAACCTTTCCGTATTTTATTCATTTTAGTTCTCAAGTTTCCAGCCTAAAAGCTAAATGAAGATCCCGCTACTGTATTTTTTACAAAGAACAAATTTCAAACAGATTCTGAATACATGGAAATCAAGTCAACCAAGACCAACTATTTGAAACCAAAGAGGGTTTTGAGCTGGACATTCATATAAAAAAAATAGCTCATTCAATGAAATTGATCATAAGCTCCATGCAAGCAGAAAAGCTTAAAACAAATCGTATGCTTAAATTGATGATAAGCTACTGCAACTTTATGATACTTTTTATTGATTGATTGTAAAGCTTGTATTCTAAATCCCGCTCAGTCCTATTGAACACCAACACCTTTGGGCTCCTACTCTTCATTACGTTCTCTAAATAGCATATGTGGAACGACTAACACCCCAAATCCCAACGAAAGCTAAAATCATACAGACGAAACAAAAAACAAGCCAGTCCTATCTTTGGTGAAGATGAATTCTGATCCCATTCTAGAAAATTGAATGTGCTACTAGTGTTTCAATAGAAAACTTGGCCAAGTTTTGATGTGCTACTGCTACCTAAAAACTTGGCCAAGTTTTCTATTGAAACACAAACTAAAATTTTCCCTCAAGAAAGGTTATGGCCCCATAAAGAAAGAAAGAAAAAGTGAAAATGTATAAGAACTAACAGCAGCTTACAACACTGAATGTATAAGAGCTCAGAAATGCCATCTTTTTGTACTTTCCAGATCACCAAAGAAGAAAGGGCCTAAATTTCTATTTGGGATGGAAGAGCACAACTAAAATACAAGCATCATCTAACTACTTCAAACATTGTGAAATAATTCTTACTGAAGTTAGCATTTCAATATAATTTTGTCAGTTTCAACATTGAAAAGATTTGATGGAACAAGAGAGCATACCTTGATCAGTAGCATCAACTAGCTTCTTTATAGATAACAAGTTTCGCCACCCATACTCAGAGCCTACAACAACATTTGAACTTCGTGTCATAACGTAATCCACCTATCTATGTGTCTCGAATGCCTTGGTCAAATTAGAATGTTTACAGAAACTTCATCAGAAATATTAGCGTGATTTGGTGAAGATACTAAAATAAGATAAATTCGATGATGGAAGCAAAATGTGTGGAATAAAACACCAAGAAACAATTACCTTCTGCCCATTAACCTTTTCCAAGGTTCTGAATTTTGTCTCATTGCCAAAGACCTATCAATATACATGTAGACAAAAGATAAATAAGTTTTGAACCACTAACTGACACTATGAATGAAGACCAAGAGATTCTTATGGGAAAAGTTTTTTGTTACACACCTAAGAAGAACTTACAGATTTTTGGAGTGGAAAGGTTCATCATAAATCTACATATTCATGACTCAAACCGTTGAATTTCTACAAGTATAACCACAAATTCCTTGAGATAGAGCAACCTTAATAAGCTAATCTTAAATACAGTTGAGTTCAATAAAATCAAAATGTAATATAATGGTCCAAGGTTCCATGTCAGATAAAAAAAAAACTTCTAGAAAGACTACCGAGAAAGCAACAGAGCACTGAATACGGTTGCAAAACAAGATACTTCTAAATTCCTCTTGAAGAACAACAAATTCTCCAATAATATAAAACCACCACCGCTGGGAAAAAAATAAAATCAAAGTATCATAAGCATAAAAAGACAATGACGTTGGGAAATGATGAGAGAAACATCATGGAATTCACAAAGGAACCAATGGTCTACCTAAAATGTGTTGATGGATCCTTTCCTTGCCAACCAATGGGTCCTTCCACTGCTAAGATAACCACACAGTTCTTCTCTGTGAAAGGCAGAATCTCATAAGGTCTTCAAAGCTGCCTAGAGTTTAGACGTAGTGCTCTATAATAATGCAAGCAGGGAGCCTTCATGTTTCAAAAACTAACGACCTTCATGTTTCAAAAACTAACAACCTAATTACATGCAATATGTAGATGGAAACGTTAAGGACTCGTACGGACCACATATCTAGGAAACAAGCAATTCAAATGTATATTTTAAATACGTTGAGCTGATTCTATTTTGACAACACCCAAACGATCCATGGAACCTTCAGAAGAAGGGATACTTGGTGCACAGGAACTGCATCATTAGAAATATATAGACAGCTCTGCAGCCTCTGCAAGCATTACTCTTGCGAGCATTAAAGAGAAAACAAGTCACTAAATTAAAAGAAACGCCAAAGAGTAGTTTCAAAATGGAGATCAATAGCTTTGATAGTTCTCATTTGGCATTACTGGTTTGTAATAATGTCAATAAGAACATAGGATGAATAATACCCGGGTACAAGTGCTTCAGTTACAAGCATATACGGATTTCTCTTCTTACCATGTCAAATCATCTTCATACCCAAATCTCACTAGAGATTTGGCCTCGAGAAACATCCACTAGTAGATTTAGTTACTAAATATCAAGAATGTGATATTACAAATTTCCAACAATCCCTAAATCAGTTGCTTGTTGCAAGAAGGAAAAAACATCTGTAACCCCTTATATACAATAAAAACTGTACTTATATTGGGCAGCAACATGACATGACAATATGGCATTTGCGCTTCTAATTGAAACAAAAGCATCGCAACAAAGAAAGCCTATCAATTGCTATTTCATCAACCAGTTACATCACAGATGACATCCACAGCCAAAAGAGATCCCACCGTCAACAGGGGAAACCAAGGTTTCATTTATATCATTTTAATTTTTTTTCAGTGCAAGAATGGAACCAATCATTTCATTTTACTGATTCGCCAAAAAAAAGATTACTACTGGTAGGTAATGGTAGGCTGTGATTGATGACAGGCTAAGCAGACATCAGAGCATGTCAGAAATTTTATGTCAACAAAGAAGAAACTGACACTCAGATAGCGTCTTAAACTAAAAGATGTAGCCAAGAGCCTCACAAACTGGATAGCATTCAACCTCAAGATGATCACAGTATCAAGCAGAAACTAGCATCCTTGCACAAACAAGTATAGAAAAAAGATAATGATTTAACTTACAGCAAGTTCATCATGCTCATCTTTGCCAACAATGAAAATGCTGACATCCTGAAGCACTGTGTAAACTGGGCAAGAAAAATATAACAAAAGTAATTCAAGAATAATTCACTAAAAGGGAAAAAAATCCGGAGTCAAATTATCGAGAAAATTAGAAACTGCTGGTGTACAAATATAAAAGATATTACAATTCTATACTATGACAGAAAGTAGAAGAGGAATAGTCCATGCCAACACTGCAACTTTACTTTTTGGGATCTACTTTTCTCCCTGAAATAATACAACCATACAAGGGAAGGTTTCTGATACAACTGAAACGCTGTCTGAATAGTGATAAAAGACTTTTTTTTGGCCAGTAACATCATCAATTTGACATTTTAATTAGTTCTGCTTTCCTTGGTGAAACTTTTGAACTGCCTATTAGCACCTTAACCAAGAGACAGGAAAAAATGTGGCGAAGCTTACTCATCCGTGATATACTTTGTGGAGTGAATACTGCAAGAAATATGATATACCCAACAAACAACCTTGAAGTGGGTTGTTGAAGAATTAACATATACTGATCAATGAATCATAATTTGCAAGAGCAACCGTTGCCTATATTATCTGAGTTACATAATTTGCTTTAAAGCAGACACGACTAGACTATTATGAACTGAATAGCAAAAAACTGTGTTTCCCACGTAGCAAACTGAGAGTAGATACTATAAGATGAGCAAATCCAGGATTCATAATTTGCAAAAAAAAAAAAGTTTCATATATACATATATGCTGCTCCACCATTTTAAGTATACGGGGAAATTTCCAAAAACAAAAGTTTATATATACATATAAGCCACACCACCATTTTAAGTGTACAGTGAACATCAATTATTCATTACACCAAAAACCACCTCAACTAAATGGGAAAGAAAACATGAAAATGATAGGGAAGAAAGAAAACATGTTTCATTGAGTTCCATTTTTAAGATCATTTTGTATGGAAAGATACGCAATGCAAGTACTCATTTTCAACTTAAAATAAATAAAATTAGGAAAGGTTAATTTTTTAGCATTTCAATTTCCTGCTCCCAATTGACATAATTAGCAAGCAAACAATTTTGTTGATAGCAAATAGGTAACACAATCTGGCAGCAGAAAGCTCAAACATACGATACTTGGAGAATTCATTTGCTATGGACACAGAGGTTAACAATACAAACATAAACAGAAATTCAAATTATAGAAAAAAAACAACTATTTTTGCAAGGTAATGAGAAACCGATTTAAAATTTTTTAACCCCGTTAAATAGAAAGTGAAATTAAAATCTAACCAATTAAAGGGTTTCTTGTTCTTATAATCCTAATCCTTTAAAAGTAAGAATTAATTGAAAGAATATAAGCACCTTGAAATGTAAAAGATCCAAAAAACACCAACTTTGAAAATTCTCCACTGCCTTAATAAATTCAAGAAATCAAACAGGAAACGAGACAAAGTTTACATGCAAATCACTAAAATATGATAAAAAAATCATAAAATCACAAGATGTTAAAGCACTCTCCCTTTGATAACAAATTGTATAATTATAGCGAGAGAGGGAGAGATGGGTACATACTGAGAATTTGAGTGTCATGAACACTCTCCCTTTGAGCGAATTTGAAATTCGCTATGATCACGAAAGATCGAAAAAACATCAACTTATGAAAATTCTCCACTCCCTTAATAAATTCAAGAAATCAAACAGGGAAACGAGACAAAGTTCACATGCAAAACACTAAAATATGATCAAAACAAATCATATAATCACAAGATGTTAAAGATACCTTTGAGAACAAATTGTATAATTATAGCGAGAGAGGGAGAGATGGGTACATACTGAGAATTTGAGTGTCATGAACACTCTCCCTTTGAGCGAATTTGAAATTCGCTATGATCACGAAAGATCGAAAAAACATCAACTTATGAAAATTCTCCACTCCCTTAATAAATTCAAGAAATCAAAGAGGGAAACGAGACAAAGCTCACATGCAAAACACTAAAATATGATCAAAACAAATCATATAATCACAAGATGTTAAAGATACCTTTGAGAACAAATTGTATAATTATAGCGAGAGAGGGAGAGATGGGTACTTACAGAGAATTTGAGTGTCAGGAACACTCTCCCTTTGAGCTAATTTGAAATTCGCTATGATCACATGAAAAATCAAACTTCATACAGAGAATTTGAATGGCTAAAACAAAATTTTTGTTTCTTGAGAGAGAGAGAGAGAGAGAGAGAGGAAAAGAGAGTTCTTCGTTTGCAGAAATTGAAAAATGTTGAGATTTAGAGAGAGAGAGAGAGAGTGGATTTATATAGTGGAAGAGAAATTCAGAGAATTCAAAAAATATTCGACCGTTACTTGAACTGAACGAACGACACTGTGGTCTAGTTTTCTAAACTCCGACGTCTTATTAGGATTTAAACAGAATTTAAATTAGGAAACTAAATAAACACTTTTATTTAAAGCCAATTATGGATAAAATTGATTTGGTTTTATTAGTTGGGTGAGAGCTTACCTCATCCCATGTTTAGAGATTATTTATTAAACACACTCAATATTTTTATTATTTATTATTTATTATTTTTGTTCATATCCATGTTTAGAGATTGTATTTCCTGGTTTTATTTAAAAAATTATTTTATAATAATATTACAATTCATGGATGATGAATTATTATTTTATGCTTTAGTTTTTTATGCTGTAATTTTGTGCATCATAATAATTCTATTTCTTTTAAAAAATTATTTAGTTTGGGTACTAGCGAGCAATAAAAGGATGAAAATTTATTTATTTGACCTAATTGATGTAAGTGTATTTTAAATAAAAAATATATTTTCTTTCCCATGTAACCTGATTTATTAGCATTTTTAATTTTATTTTTTTAAAAAAAAGTGATTGAATCGTAAAAATAAATAGTATCCACAAATTAAATACAAAACTCACACCATTTTTATTTTATCTATTATAAATAGATTGTAACTTTTCAATATTTGGTGACAAGAATAAATATCAATTAATTGCTTATTCTTTTTTGGATTGAAATTATCTCGAACCAAAATTGATTTGTTCAAATTTCAATCAAAAATATTATTTACAATATCATCCTAACCATTAAATAGCAGATTTTTATGATTTTATTTTTTATTTTTTCTATGTACATTATAACATTATTGGAGATTTGAGAGAGAGAAAAAAGAAAAAAATGCAATTATATATAAAAAAAAACCTTTTTGATAATTATATACTATCAAAGGGCTATTAATTAATAATAAATAATAAACTTACAATGTGTTAGTAAAAAGAATGAGATCTCAAGATCCAGTCTCATCTTGTTAGATATTTAATAAAATTGGACATAATAATCCAAAAAGAAAAAAATAACGAGAAAAATTGAGACTCATTTTAAAGACTATGAAGACATTAGTGAAACATCCAAAGAGTATACCGTGGATCAAAACCTTTCATTTCTTCCAAACCAAAGTACGGCCACCTCTGCCCTTGTCATCCCAACACCTCTCTTGTCCTTTCTCATCCAAAATCAAAGAACCTTCCTTTCCTCTTTCTTCTCTCCATCTCCACAAATAGCCATGAACAGCAATCTTTCCAACACAGTTTGCTTCTTCTCCCAAATATGAATGAAGAGCAAGAGATTCTTATGGGAAAGGTTCCCTCTTACACACCACTTACAGCTTGTTGGAGTGGAAAGGTTCATCATGAAATCTACATATTCAGGACTCAGAACGTTGAATTTCTAAGATGACATCCGTAACCCCTTGTATACAATAAAAACTTTACCTATGTTAGGCAGCAAGATGACATGGCAATATGACATTTGCGCTTCTAATTGAAACAAAAGCATCGCAACAAAGAAAACCTATTAATTCCTATTTCATCAACCACATACATCACAGATGACATCCACAGCCAAAACAGATGCCACCATCAACAGAGGAAACCAGGGTTTCATTTATACCATTTTAATTATTTTTCAGTGCAAGAATGGAACCAATCATTTCATTTACTGAATTGCCAAAAAAAACTAATACTGCTGAAAGATAATGGTAGGCTGTGATTGATGACAGGCTAAGCAGACATCAGAGCATGTCAGAAATTTTATGTCAACAAATAAGAAACAACTGACACTCAAATAGCAAGTCTTAAACTAAAAAATGTAGCCAAGAGCCTCACAAGCTGGATAGTATTCAACCTCAAAATGATCTCAGTATCAACCAGAAACTAGCATCCTTGCACAAACAAGAATAGGAAAAAGATAATGATTTAACTGAAAGTTCATCGTCCTCATCTTTGCCAGCAATAAAAATGCTGACATCCCGAAGCACTGTGTAAACTTGGCAAGAAAAATATAACAAAAGTAATTCATGTAAGAGGGAACAAGAAAAATATAACAAAAGTAATTCATGTACATTTCACTAAACGTGAAAAAAATCCTGAGTCATTATCGAAAAAATTAGAAACTGCTGTTATATAACTATAAACAATTCTAGGCTATTACAGAAAGTAGAAGAACAAGAAAGAGTCCATGCGAACACTGCAGCTTAACTTCTTGGGATCCACTTTTCTCCCTGAAGTAATAAAACCATACAAGGGAAGGTTTCTGATACAACTGAAACGCTGTCTGAATAGTGATAAAATACTTTTTTTTTGGCATGTAACATCTTCAATTTGGCATTTTAATTAGTTCTGCTTTCCTTGGTGAAACTTTTGAACTGCCTATTAGCACCTTAACCAAGAGACTGGAAAAATTATGGCGAAGCGGACTCATCCGTGATATATTTTATGGATTAAATATTATAAGAAATATGATATACCCAACAAGCAACCTAGAAGTGGATTGTTGAAGAATAAACGTATTCTGATCAATAAGTCATAATTTGCAAGAGCAACCTTTGCCAATACTATCTGGAAGAATTGCCTCTTCATACTATCAGAGTTACACAATTTGCTTTAAAGCAGACATGAATAGACTATTATGAACTGAATAGCAAAAAACTGTATTTCCCACGTAGCAAACTGAGAGTAGATGCTATATGATGAGCAAATCCAGGATTCATAATTTACAAAAAAACTAGTTCAATGTGTGATTATAGATTAGTACAAGTACGTCAAAGTAGATGGAATGAACTGTGGGCGCTCCTAGAAAACTAGTTATTTTCTTTTATTTCTTTTGCTTTTACAAAAAATATATAATTAAAAGGAATTGAGAATCATGCAAGGAATTTTATTTTTTAAATTCTTTTTCAATTTCTGCTTGAACTTGGTGTTCCCTTTTAGAGGCAAAGTAACTAACTCACTAACACTTTCGAGAATCTTAAAAGTTGAAGGTATAACTCATTTAATTTTTTATTTTATTTTAACCATTTAAATTCTAATTAAAATGGGATTTTTTTAAAAAATAAAACAAAATGTGCTTGGACCCTAATAGGAAAAAATATATACATTGCATTCATTCAATAATTTCATGTTGACTTCTGAATTTTTTCTTTAATTTATATCACATTACCATGTAATTGAAAACTATGTCATTATCAAAGGAAAATAAAATTTAATGTGAACATAAGATGTGTTTATAAGTAGTTCAAAATATTTTCCAAGGATGATCTAACTTCCATCAAAGGATTCTTAATTTGTAGGGGTGAGATGTGATTTAGTTGCTTGTTATATAAAACGAACTTTACAAATCACCTTACGCTACCCAAACTATATATATATATATATATATATATATATTTAAGGTTTAATGATGAATTTTGCCACCTTTCAAATTTTAAAAGATTTATGGCGTTAATCATTCAGTTCTTCTACTAATTTGTTGCTAACCTTATTGATTTTAAAATTTAAAGCATTATTATTTAATCTTTATTTTATTATTTTTAATTTTTAATTTTTATTTTAAAAGGACTTTCAGGACTATTTTAGTCAAGTAACCCTAAAATAGTTTATATCTTATCTATATTTTAAGGTTTTTAAAATTTAAAAAGGACAAGCCACCTTCTCTCTCATACAAGTGGTTAAATTGATTAGAACTAAATAGTTACATATTCATACTCAAGTCTTGACATGTAATCTTAAAAAGATATAACATTTGAATTAGTAGTTCTCTTAATGTTAATATAAATGATATGCAATCTTTATAAAATTAATTTAAAGCCATAGAATATCCCATTGAAAGTTTATTAAATAAAATACCCAATTAATTTTTGTAAAATTAATTCATTTGGTTTGCTTGTAAAAAGATATTCTTATTTATTTCTTCAAGTTAGCATATCCAAATATATTTAAAAAAAAATCTTATTATCTAAAAATACATTTTATAGGAAAAATGTCACTTGTAAAAATTAATGATTTGGTTCATCACAATAATGAATAGTTGAACTCTTAGAACAAGAATCTCTTTTTTTAATGACAAATCATTAATCTTTTTAAACATAGAAAGTACATATTTCATTATGCCCCCTCTATCAAATACATTATATGTATGGAATGAAACGCGGATGCATGAAGCATAAAGCTCTCCCAATCAAAATATAGGGTATTGCCCATCTAACATGTGTTTTTAAAGGTCTTCTTTTTATTTGTTATGAAAAAAAAGTTATTTTTTTGTTTTTAATCTTTTTATACTATAGGTCAATTTTTTATTTTCGTTCCACTCACCACCTTAATTTTTTTTTTTAATATTATTGTTTGATATAAAATAAACCTCAAGCATCTAATTAGTATAATATTAAATGAAATATATTTTTTGAAATAAAAAGTTGTTGAATCCCTTACAATGCATGACTTAAATCATGGATTGAACAAGTTAATCTTAATTGATTCATGTTTTTTTTTTAGTTAAATATTTGTTTATTTTAATTTCATCATTCAATATTAAGTTAATTGAGAATTAAATATTATAATTTTTTAATTTATTTTTTTATAGAGTTATCACATTCTCATGATTTGCATCACATCCAAGTTGATAGAATATGTTATCGTCTTAATATTTTTATAAAAAATATCATCCAATATGTGTTAAATTTTAAGTTCATGAATAATTTTTTTCTTAGAAAATACATTAAATATGCCTTAACATTTGTTTTGCAATTGAAAAAGATTAGCCAAATCCGTCTTATTTTCTTTGTTTTTTTTTATTATCCAATTTAATTAAAAAATTGATTCTAAAATACAAAGTTATTCAACACAACCAAGCTGACTGCCTATATTGTGAGATTGTGTATCTTGATACACATCCATGGGCGGAGGCATGTATAGACTCGGGCGGGCTCTAGTCTAGGTCAAGATTTTATCACTATTTTTTAACTAGTTTTATGTAAAGAAAAATTGTAATTCTCAATTTAGGTATTAAAAAATTCTAAAATTTTATGTGAAGCCTTCTAATATGATACTTTAGCTTGGGTTAAAATTTTAAATTTTTTGAAGAAATTCAGAAATTTGATAAAAATCACAATTTAACTAGTTTTACATTATCGGGTGTAATTTTCAATTAGTCCATCAAATTGAGCTATAAAATGTTATGAAGCATCTTAAAATATATTGAATAAAATCTAGTAAATTTTTTAGGATGAATAGAGTTTGGTAGTGCTGGAAAAAAAACATCAAATAAAAGTAAAACAACTCATTAAATTAAAAAATAAGACAAATCACTTCTTCCTTCCTTTCATATATTATCAATTGGATAGAAGCAGAAAAGAAAAGAAAAAGAAAAAGAAAAGATGAGAGAGAAAGAGAGAAAAGTAAAGGAAAAATACAAAAATATCCAAGAAAAAAAATAAGAAAAGTGAGAAAATAATATTGTAAACTTACAAAGTCCAACATATAAAATACTAATCTAAGGAAAAATCAAGTAAAGGAAGGAGGAATTGAAAGTGGGGAAAAAATTAATTATTTTGTTTTTTAGTTAACATGAGATTGTTATTTTATTCCCGTTGAGGGGTTGTTACAATATTGATTAATATTCGATTATAGATGAATTATATTCCACAAAATATAAAAGGATATAACTTTAATAGTGAATTTATTTTTACTTTCACTTTAATTTTATATACTTTCAAATTTATTTTTTAATATTTTAGGTAGTGTATTTAAATTAAAACCTTACTGTTAACTTTAAAAATTCAAATTCATGTACATGAGTTAATAATTTATCCTAAAAAAATATATATATTTATTTAATAGTCCAAGGTAAAAAATAATCATGGCTCCGTTCTTGTACACATCTATATGTCAATTTTTCATTTTAGTTTTTAGTTATTGTCAATGTCTTTTTTTTTTTGCATTTATTATTACATATTATTTTTAATTTATTAAGTTACAGGTATGTATAGGTTTTATGTTTGCAATTATATTTTTTTCTATGTCTAAAAACATATTATAGAAGCTTGCGCATTTATTTTTTTATGTTGAAAGTTTTTTCATCTAACTCGAGGTAAAGTGTAATCAACATAGCTAGGATTGGACTATAACGCTTTAATGTTAGTTTCAATTTATCATAATTGTTACTCAAGTTCTTTTAAAAACTAATTTCACTCTTGAAATGATTTCTCGTAATAAAAGACATTCTTAAAGAATTAGCCTCATGATAGCTTGAACCATTTTGTATTCTTTATTTGAGCTAAAGATTCTCTTCATCACATGAGCATACGAGTTCACGAGATGTCCCTATATTTTTCATACCTTTAATTTTGAGCATAAAATATTTCTACCCTTTAACCATTATTTGATTTTTCCAACAACTTTTAGAAAGCTAAAGAAAACAAAGAACAAACTACTAAAAAATTTCTAGGAATATTTTGATGATTGGAGTTGTGGGTCAATGATGATGAAGCTGAAACTAACATTATATGTAAATTTTTTAGTGATTGGAGTTGTGGGTCGATGAAAATTTAAAATTTAAAATTTATATTCCAATACATTTGTTGTATCTATAAATATAATGTTTAAACAAAATAATATTTTAATTAAAACAATAGATTTTAAATGCATGAAAGTCATACATCGAGTTTGAAGTAAATTTTTCATTTCCTTTTAAAGAAAGCAAATGAAAAAAATAAAAGGGGAGAAAATATCTCTAATTCTTTACTAGTAACTATATTATTCCGCATTTCATCCAAAAAATCTCAAAGTCTTATTGAATTTAATGTTTATTTTGGAGGCAAAATGTGGGATATAAAAAACAAACTCACTAACACGTTCAAGAATATTTTGTACTTTCTTTTTTATTTTTATATTACCTTCACTAACATGTAATTCTTTATTTTGATAATTTTAATTCAAATTAATTGGGGATTCTATAAATTTTTTTCAAAAATAAAAATTAGTTAGGGAAGAGATATATAAATCTGGTTTTGTTCGGATGGAATGAATATTGACTTCTAAAGATAATTTAATTCATCATATTACAAATTTAATTAATATCAAATGATTCATTTTTTGTTTGTAGATTCGAGATGTGATTTAGTTATACTCATTAGATATAACAAACTTCACAAATCACCTTAAGCTTTACAAACTACTTTTTTATAAAAATAAAAAAATTATAAAAAATAAATAATAGAAAATATTCCCCTGCCCCCCACTCACTAAGTATATTCAAAAACTTAAGATTTAGTTGTGAATCTTGTCAACCTTCAAACTTTGAAAGATCTAAGGCATTAATCATTTAATTCATCTACTATTTTTTGCTCACCTTAAAAATATTTAAAGATTTGAGGCATTATTTAATTTTTATTTTATTATTTTGATTATTTAGTTTCTAATTTAGGGGGGTTTCATAATTATTTTAAGAGTATTTTTTATGCTTGGAGTTATAGATAACAAAACAAATAATAATGAATTTTATTTTTTTAATAATTTGATGGAAATTCTTTTGTTGTTTCAAAACAATTAAATTTATATCTAATTACAATCAAAATGAAAGAAAAGGACTTGTGAAATCTTGATTTGATAACCCAAATTAACCTTAAATTTATGTCTTATTACTTTCTTTTTTATTTTTATACTACCTTTCAAAATCTTAAAATTTAAGTATTAACCATTTAATTCTTTATTTTAATAATTAAACCTATAAAATAGGAATTCATGATGATAATAACTATTTAAGTAAATATTCAAGGGAAAAACCAAGATTCTTTATTTTATATCAACAACTCCTTTAAGGACCATCATTAATATTGGAGGGAAAAACCAAGATTTAAAAGCTAAAAGAAAACAAAGAACAAACTACTAAAAATTTCAAGAAATATCTTTGAAGATTGAAGTTGTGGGTCAGTGATGATGAAGTTGGAATTAACATTATATGTCAATTTTTCAATGACTGGAGTTGTGGCTCAAATGCAAATTTATGATTTTAAGTTCATATTCCAATTTATTTAATCTACCTATAAATATAATGTTTAAATGAAATTTTTTTTTAAATATAAAGCATAAAAGTCATAGTTCGAGTTTGAAGCAAAATTCTCAACTTTTTTTAAAGAAAATAAAAGAAAAAAAATATATATCTCTAATTCTTTACCAATAACTATTATTTCACATTTCATTCAAAAAATCTCAATACCTTAATGTTTATTTTGAAGGCAAAATATGAGATATAACTAATACACTCACTAACATGTTAATAAATATTTTTTACTTTCTTTTTGGTTTACACTACCTTCAAGAGTCTTAAGGTATTAATAATATAACTTTTTATTTTAATAATTTTCATTCAAATTAAATGGGGATTCTACAAACTAAGCTTTTAAAAAAAATTATGAAAAGAAATAATAGAAATTGTTTTTTGCAAGCACTCACCAAGTATATAGAAAAAAAAAAAACCTAAGGTTGAATAGTGAATCTTGCCGACCTTCAAACTTTGAAAGATTTAAAGCACAAATCATTTAATTCATCTACTAATTTTTGCTCACCTTCAAATATTTAAAGAATTGAAGCATTATTTTTTTAATATTTATTTTATTATTTTAATTATTTAGTTTCTAATTTAAGGGGGTTTCATAATCATTTTAAGAGTATTTTTTATTTTTTAAAATATTTGATGGAAGTTCTTTTGATGTTTCAAAACAATTAAATTTATATCTTATTACAATCAAAATGAAAAAAGAAAAAAGAAAAATAGTTAGGGAAGAGGTATATAAATCTGGTTTTGTTTTGAAAACCCAAATTAACCTAAAATGTATTTGAAAGTAGTGAAGTGTAGAAAGACTTTTCAAGTCCAGTAAGCACAAAAATCATCAACACATTGCTTATACTTTCCTAAATATAAACAGAGACAAGCAAAGCAAAGATCAGAGAACACTGCTTCAGTAAAGCTGCAAGAAAGGAAGCATGAAGAATTGAGATGCGCAATTAGCAAAGAAGTAAAACAAACCATACATCTCAAGGAAAAATGCAACATCCAACTCATAACCCTTGTAGTTGGGCTATATTTTGAGCATCCAAGTTCACCTTTCTATTCCTTTGTCTGCTCAGCTAGAAAAGATCTTCATCTTTCAAGTTAGTGATCAGTCTTCAATGGCTCAACATACTTGAAAAATATAGCCCAAACTACAGACCAGTTTCAAACAGTTGGCTTGGTTGAAGAACGAAGGCCCCGACCCGGCCAATTAAATATACAACCCATCCGTTACACTCTCTATAGCTAACAGTAGCAGCAGTATTCAAGTTCCACAATTAGTTTCCATAACTCCATCGCAAACGGTGAGTGCATGGGAAATCTAAGAAACCATTTTAGTTCAAAGATAAATGGTGGAGTTTCAGAAACTAAAAGCTAAACGAAGATCCTGCTACTACATTTTTTACAAAGAACAAATTTCAAACAGATTCTGAATACATGGAAATCAAGTCAACCAAGACCAACTATTTGAAACCAAAGAGGCTTATGGGCTGGACATTAGCTCATTCAATGCAATTGTCATAACCTAAAGACTGCAAGAATATTGAAGCTAACAGCAGACTACAACACTGAATGTATAAGAGCTAAGAAAATGCTATCTTTCTGTACATTTCAAATCACCAAAGAAGAAAGGACTTAGATTTCTATTTGGGATGGAAGGGCACAACTAAAATATAAGCATCAACTAACTACTTCAAATATTATGAAATAATTCATACTGAAGTTAGCATTTCAAAATAATTTTGTCAGTTTGAACATTGAAATGATTTGATCGAACAAGAGAGCATACCTTGGTCATTAGCATCAACTAGCTTCTTTACAGGTATAAGTTTTGCCACCCATATTCAGAGCCTACAGCAACATTTGCACTTTGTGTAATAACACAATCCACATATATGTCAAATTAGAATCTTTACAGAAACTTCATCAGCATTATTAGCGTGATTAGGTGAAGATAATACAATGAGATAAATTCCAAGATGAAAGCAAAATGTGTGGAATAAAACACCAAGAAACAATTACCTTCTGCCCATTAACCTTTTCCAAGGTTCTGAATTTTGTCTCATTGCCAAAGACCTATCAATATACATGTAGATAAAAGGTAAATAAGTTTTGAACCACTAACTGACACTATGAATGAAGACCAAGAGATTCTTACGGGGAAAGTTTTCTCTTACACCCCCATGAAGAACTTACAGATTGTTGGAGTGGAAAGGTTCATCATGAAATATACATATTCATGACTCAGACCGTTGAATTTCTGCCAGCAACATTTGCACTTTGTGTAATAACATAATCCACATATATGTCTCCAATGCCTTGGTCAAATTAGAATCTTTACAGAAACTTCATCAGCATTATTAGCGTGATTAGGTGAAGATAATACAATGAGATAAATTCCAAGATGAAAGCAAAATGTGTGGAATAAAACACCAAGAAACAATTACCTTCTGCCCATTAACCTTTTCCAAGGTTCTGAATTTTGTCTCATTGCCAAAGACCTATCAATATACATGTAGACAAAAGATAAATAAGTTTTGAACCACTAACTGACACTATGAATGAAGACCAAGAGATTCTTACGGGGAAAGTTTTCTCTTACACCCCCATGAAGAACTTACAGATTGTTGGAGTGGAAAGGTTCATCATGAAATATACATATTCATGACTCAGACCGTTGAATTTCTGCAAGTATAACCACAAATTCCTTGAGATAGAGCAACCTTAATAAGCTAATCTTAAATACAGTTGAGTTCAATAAAATCAAAATGTAATATAATGGTCCAAGGTTCCATGTCAGCTAAAAAAAAAACATCTAGAAAGACTACTGAGAAAGCGACAGAGCATTGACTACGGTTGCAAAACAAGGTACTTCTAAATTCCTCTCGAAGAACAACAAATTCTCCAATGATATAAAACCACCACCGCTGGGAAAAAAAAATCAAAGTATCATAAGCATATAAGAAAATGATGTTGGGAAATGATGAGACAAACATCATGGAATTCACAAAGGAACCAATGGTCTACCTAAAATGTGTTGATGGAACCTTTCCTTGCCAACCAATGGGTCCTTCCACTGCTAAGATAACCACACAGTTCTTCTCTATGAAAGGCAGAATATCATAAGGCCTTCAAAGCTTCCTAGAGTTTAGGCGCAGTACTATATAATAATGCAAGCAGGGAGCCTTCATGTTTCAAAAACTAACGACCTAATTACATGCAATATGTAGATGGAAAAGTTAAGGACTCGTACGGACCACAAATCTAGGAAACAAGCAATTCAAATGTATATTTTAAATAGGTTGAACAGATTCTCTTTCGACAACACCCAAACGGTCCATGGAACCTTCAGAGGAAGGGGTACTTGGTGCACAGATACTGTCCCAATATGTAGACAGCTCTGCAGCCTCTGCAAGTATTACTCTTGCGAGCATTAAAGAGAAAACAAGTCACTAAATTAAAAGAAACGCCAAAGAGTAGTTTCAAAATTGAGATCAATAGCTTTGATAGTTCTCATTTGGCATTACTGGTTTGTAATAATGTCAATAAGAACATAGGATGAATAATACCCGGGTACAAGTGCTTCAGTTACAAGCATATACGGATTTCTCTTCTTACCCAAATCTCACTAGAGATTTGGCCTCGAGAAACTTCCACTAGTAGCATTAGTTACTAAATGTCAAGAATGTGTATTACAAATTTCCAACAATCCCTAAATCAGTTGCTTGTTGCAAGCAGGAAAAAACATCTGTAACCCCTTATATACAATAAAAACTGTACTTGTATTGGGCAGCAAGATGACATGGCAATATGGCATTTACGCTTCCAAGTGAAACAAAAGCATGGCAACAAAGAAAGCCTATCAATTGCTATTTCATCAACCACTTACATCACAGATGACATACACAGCCAAAAGAGATCTCACCGTCAACAGGGGAAACCAAGGTTTCATTTATACCATTTTAATTTTTTTTCAGTGCAAGAATGGAACCAATCATTTCATTTTACTGATTCGCCAAAAAAAAGATTACTACTGGTAGGTAATGGTAGGCTGTGATTGATGACAGGCTAAGCAGACATCAGAGCATGTCAGAAATTTTATGTCAACAAAGAAGAAACTGACACTCAGATAGCGTCTTAAACTAAAAGATGTAGCCAAGAGCCTCACAAACTGGATAGCATTCAACCTCAAGATGATCACAGTATCAAGCAGAAACTAGCATCCTTGCACAAACAAGTATAGAAAAAAGATAATGATTTAACTTACAGCAAGTTCATCATGCTCATCTTTGCCAACAATGAAAATGCTGACATCCTGAAGCACTGTGTAAACTGGGCAAGAAAAATATAACAAAAGTAATTCAAGAATAATTCACTAAAAGGGAAAAAAATCCGGAGTCAAATTATCGAGAAAATTAGAAACTGCTGGTGTACAAATATAAAAGATATTACAATTCTATACTATGACTTGGTGAAACTTTTGAACTGTCTATTAGCACCTTAACCAGGAGACTGGATCAAAATGTGGTGAAACTGACTCATCGGTGATATACTTTATGGATTGAATACCATAAGAAATATGATATACCCAACAAGCAACCTAGAAGTGGATTGTTGAAGAATTAACATGTACCGATCAACGAGTCATAATTTGCAAGAGCAACTGTTGCCTCTACTATCCTGTAGAACTGCCTCTTCATATTATCAGAGTTCCACAATTTACTCTAAAGCAGACACGACTAGACTAAAATTTATGAACTGAAAAGCAAAAAACTGTGTTTTCCATATAGCAAACTGAGAGTAGATACTACAAGATGAGCAAATCCAGGATTCATAATTTCCAAAAACAAAAGTTTATATATAGATATAAGCCACACCACCATTTTAAATGTAAAGTGAACATAAATTATTCATTACACCAAAAACCACCTCAAATAATCGTGAACAAACCATGAAAAAGAAAGAAATCATGTTTCATTGAGTTCCATTTTTTAAGATCATTTTCTAGGGAAAGATACGCAATGCACGTTCTCATTTTCAACTTAAAATAAATAAAATTGGGAAAGGTTAATTTTTTTAGCATTTCAATTTCCAACTCCCAATTGACATAATTAGCAAGCAAACAATTTCGTTGATAGCAAATAGGTAACACAATCTGGCAGCAGAAAGCTCAAACATACGATACTTAGAGAATTCATTTGCTATGGACACAGAGGTTAACAACACAAACATAAACAGAAATTCAAATTATAGAAAAAAACAACTATTTTTTTTGCAAGATAATGAGAAACTGATTTAAAAAATTTAAACCCCATTAAATAGAAAGTGAAATTAAAATCTAACCAATTAAAGGGTTTCTTGTTCTTATAATCCTAATTCTTTTAAAGTAAGAATTAATTGAAAGAATATAAGTACCTTGAAATGTAAAAGATCGAAAAAACATGAAATTTGAAAATTCTCTACTTCCTTAATAAGTTCAAGAAATCAAACAGTGAAACGAGACAAAGTATACATGCAAATCATTAAAATATGATCAAAACAAATCATAAAATCACAAGATGTTAAAGACACTCTCCCTTTGAGAACAGATTGTATAATTATACCGAGAGAGGGAGAGATGGGTACATACCGAGAATTTGAGTGTCATGAACACTCTCCCTATGCGCGAATCTGAAATTCGCTCCCTATGAGCGAATCTGAAATTCGCTATGATCACTAAAGATCGAAAAAACATCAACTTTGAAAATTCTCCACTCCCTTAATAAATTCAAGAAATCAAAGAGGGAAACGAGACAAAGTTTACATGCAAATCACTATAATATGATCAAAACAAATCATAAAATCACAAGATGTTAAAGACACTTTTGAGAACAGATTGTATAATTATAGCGAGAGAGGGAGAGATGGGTACTTACAGAGAATTTGAGTGTCATGAACACTCTCCCTTTGAGCTAATTTGAAATTTGCTATGATCACACGAAAAATCAAACTTTATACAGAGAATTTGAATGGCTAAAACAAAATTGTTGTTTCTTGAGAAAGAGAGAGAGAGAGGAAGAGAGAGTTTTTCGTTCGAAGAAATTGAAAAATGTTGAGATTTAGAGAGAGTGAGAGAGAGAGAGAGAGAGAGAGAGTTTTTCGTTTGCAGAAATTGAAAAATGTTGAGATTAGAGAGAGTGAGTGAGAGAGAGACTGGATTTATATAGTGGAAGAGAAATTCAGAGAATTCAAAAAATATTTGACCGTTGCTTGAACTGAACGAGCGACACTGCACTTGGTCTAGTTTTCTAAACGACGACGTCTTATTAGGATTCAAACAGAATTTAAATTAGGAAACTAAATAAACACTTTTATTTAAACCCAATTATGGATAAAATTGATTTGGTTTTATTAGTTGGATGATAGCTTATCTCATCCCATCACACACTTAATATTTTTGTTATTTATTATTTATTATTTATGTTCATATCCATGTTTAGAGATTGTATTTCCTGGTTTTATTTAAAAAATTATTTTATAATAATATTACAATTCATGCATGATGAATTATTATTTTATGCTTTAGTTTTTTATGTTGTCATTTTTTGCATCATAATAATTCTATTTCTTTAAAAAATTTATTTAGTTTGGGTACTAGCAAGCAATAAAAAGATGAAAAAAATTATTTATTTGACCTAATTGATTGGATTGAATTAAAAAAAAAATGTGATTCTTGTAGGTGTGTTTTAAATAACAAGTATATATGCATTCCCACATAACCTGATTTATTAGCATTTTAATTTTTAATTTTTTTAAAAAACTGATTGAATCATAAAAATAAATACTATCCACAAATTAAATACAAAACTCACATTATTTTTATTTTATCTATTATAAATAGATTGTAACTTTCCAATATTTGGTGACAAGAGTAAATATCAAATGATTGCTTATTCTTTTTTGGAGTGAAATTATCTCAAACCAAAAGTGATTTCTTCAAATTTTAACCGAAAACATTATTTACAATATTATCCTAACCATTAAATAGCCTATTTTTCTGAGTTTATTTTTTATTTTTTCTATGTATATTATAACATTATTGGAGATTTGAGAGAGAGAGAAAAGAAAAAAAATGCAATTATGAAAAAAAAAAACCACCTTTTTGATAATTATTTACTATCAAAGGGCTATTAATTAATAATCAAAGGGCTATTAATTATAATATATATAAATGTCTCATCTTGTTAGATATTTAATAAAATTGGACATAATAATCCAAAAAGAAAAAAATAACGAGAAAAATTGAGACTCATTTTAAAGACTATGAAGACATTAGTGAAACATTGATAAATCTCTTTATCAATGTTATATTTCTTCCAAACCAAAGTACGGCCACCTCTGCCCTTGTCATCCCAACGCTTCCCTTGTCCTTCACATCCAAACTCATAGAACCTTCCTTTCCTCTTTCTTCTCTCCATCTCCACAAATAGCCATGAACAGCAATCTTTCCAACACAGTTTGCTTCTTCTCCCAAATATGAATGAAGAGCAAGAGATTCTTATGGGAAAGGTTTCCTCTTACACACCCATGAAGAACTTACAGCTTGTTGGAGTGGAAAGGTTCATCATGAAATCTACATATTCAGGACTCAGAACGTTGAATTTCTACATGTATAGCCACAAATTCCATAAGATGACATCCGTAACCCCTTGTATACAATAAAAACTTTGCCTATGTTAGGCAGCAAGATGACATGGCAATATGACATTTGCGCTTCTAATTGAAACAAAAGCATCGCAACAAAGAAAACCTAAGTGCTATTCAAATAACATTATTGGAGATTTGAGAGAGAGAAAAAAGAAAAAAAATGCAATTATGAAACAAACCACCTTTTTGATAATTATTTACTATCAAAGGGCTATTAATTAATAGTAAATTTACAATGTGTTAGTAAAAAGAATGAGATCTCAAGATCAGTCTCATCTTGTAAAATATTTAATAAAATTGGACATACAAATCCAAAAAGAAAAAAATAAAGAGAAAAATTAAGACCCATTTTAAAGACTATAAGGATAACATTGAGAGAAATTAAACCATGAGGACATTAGTGAAACATTGATAAATCTATAAGGTCAAAAATACATATTTACCCGAATCCAATCCAGAAGCATCCAAAGAGTATACTGTGGATCAAAACCTCTTTACTTCTTCCAAACCAAAGTAGGGCCACCTCTGCCCTTGTCATCCCAACACCTCTCTTGTCCTTTCTCATCCAAAATCAAAGAACCTTCCTTTCCTCTTTCTTCTCTCCATCTCCAAAAAGAGCCAAAGTACCAATCTTTCCATCACAGTTTGCTTCTTCTACCAAATATTCCCTTCTCAAACTCCACAAAAACAGAAGCCCAGAAGCCAGATCACTTGTTTATTCGCTTTTGTGTCTTGTTTTTCCTGTTTAGCAGCAGCTATGGCATCTTCACCATCACCTAAGAAAAACCCCCCAACAGAATCAGCCGTGGTGGTTCAAGTCCAACCCCCTTCCCCACGTTTACATGTCACCACTCCAACAACTTGTGCTCAAAGAAGAATAGGAATTGCTGTTGATCTCAGTGATGAAAGTGCTTTTGCTGTCAAATGGGCTGTTCAAAACTACTTACGTGCTGGTGATGCAGTGATCTTAGTCCATGTTAGCCCCACAAATGTTCTTTATGGTGCTGATTGGGGGTCGTTGCCAATTAAAGAGAATTACAATCTAGATGATCAAAATGAAGAGAATCAGCAAAAGATTGAAGAGGATTTTAATCTGTTTACAAGCACCAAAGCTAATGATATAGCCCAGCCTCTTGTTGATGCAAACATACCCTTTAAAATTCATATTGTGAAGGATCATGATATGAAAGAAAGGCTTTGTTTGGAGGTTGAGAGGTTGGGGTTGAGTGCTGTGGTAATGGGGAGTAGAGGGTTTGGTGCTTCAAGGAAGAGTAGTAAAGGGAGGTTAGGGAGTGTTAGTGATTATTGTGTTCATCATTGCGTTTGCCCTGTTATTGTTGTGAGGTTTCCTGATGAGAAAGATGGTGGCGCTGGTGAGGAGTCAGAGAGGGACGGTGGGACGACGTTGTGTACGGTGATGGAGGAGGAGCAGGAAGAGCACGACATGGATGGTAAACAATCAGGTTTGAGTTTGTTTGTTGTTTTGTTATGCTTAATTGGCTTATGATTCTCTTGGATTGATTAATGTCATTAAGGCTAATGGTCTTTTCATTAGTTGAGATCATTGGTTAATTCTAGTGTTGTAAGCCGAATGGTGCTTTGAGCTGGTAATTACATGGTTTATCAGTATGATCATCTTTATGATTGTTAGCAGAAGAAATATATCTTGAGTTTATGCCATTAGTTTCTTCACTGTAGTTTCTTTCCGTTTAGGTTTAGATCATTGTATGTGATTCTTCTGTCAAAGCTTGTTTCCATTTTAGCTCCAAATTGTCATCTTTATGATTATAAAGGCAATCTCATGCAAGATTGATAGTGCAGATAACTATGAGAGTGCATTGAATAGTGAAATTTCCTTTAAATATGGCCACTGAATAACTATTAGGTCAGAGCTTTTTTTCCTCTTAATGGTAATGATTTTGATTTGGGTGTTTAGGACCACGCTAGGGATGACTTCTGATCAGTGATAAATGATATTGGTGTGAAAGACTTTTTTGTTGTTACTATTAGTTTTTTTGGGGTCTTTCTTGGATATTAATACTTTTCCTTTGTGTCAACCCATACCTGATTACCATTCCAGAACAGCTTGATTCAGCAACATCGATTGTGATGATTTATATACAGGATGGTGCACTAAAAGAAAATACATGTAACGTGTTTTTAGAGGATTTTTTATATTTAACAATGAACTTGGGAGATTTCTTTTCAAACTTCAAGAAAGAATCAACTTGAGGAACGTTATGCTTCTGCATTTATTGTTTCAACAGATGATTAAGGAGTAACATCAAACTATGACCAGTTTAGTAACTCTTTCACATTTATTGTTTCAACAGATGATTAAGGAATAATATCAAACTACGAACAGTTATAGAATTTTGATGTTTGCTTACAACATCACACTACTTGCACCATGTACAATGGTCTACTTGTCAATGCTGTGAACTTCCGTTTCTGCCAATTTGGCTGTTTTATTTTGATGAGAACTAATAAAGAAGAAGACAACCTTAGATTCCGTGTCTTTTTTAATTTAGTGCGCTTCGAGTAAATACAATTGCTTCTGCATCTTTGTCATTTCCATTGAGGTAAGGTTCAGCATGTTTTATTTTTCACACAACTCAGTAGGAGCCTATTTGTTATTTTAATGAGTGGTGTTGTGTTAAAGGCATGTTTCATATGTTCCCTTTTCTTTTGCTCTGCCTCTTTCATTGCTGTAGTTATCCTAATTTCAAACGCCTTTTCCCTTGTGCTATTCCAGGCCTTCAGTCTGTTCACCAAATAAATTCATAAAGTGTCAACTTAGGGAACATTCCATGTTTCAAGTCTTAGTTGCTTAGTTCAATGATGCAACTTTAGGGTTCTTGTTCAAATACCATCAAACTTTTGACCTTTAAATTTACTTCATAAACTTCTTGGAATTCAACGTCACCAGTCTGCCTTTTAGTTTTAATCAACTTGCATGTTCTCTTTAACGGTGATAAATACTGCTAGTGTTTGAGAACTGTTTTATATGTGATTTTTTCTTCTTCAATTTGCAACACTGAAAATTCCAACTACATTCTCAAAATGAAAACTTGGTACTTGTGGCATGTATCCCTGTCAATGCATTCACTTTTTGGGTTGATTGAGGGCGATTAGCTAAAAGAATATTGGTCTTTGAACTTATATCTCGTCATATTAGCTTGTGTCAATAATAATCACTTGGAAGACATAAGAAACTTGACCAGGCATTGGATGAAAATGAAAAGCATTTGATAATTCCATGGATTAAGACGTTCTGTCTTTCATTTTTAACATAGATGGAAAAGTTAGTAGCATTCAAGGCTTGATATAGTGTTCTCATTTGAAATTGAATTTTGGTTGTGATACACATGACAGGGGTACATCTTTCATGTTTAGCTTAGGAGGGGTGCTTGGGGGTGGGAGGGTGGGTGGGTTCAGCTTGTTTATGCAACTCGGTGGTTTTCTATTAAGTGATGGTGAAGCATTGATGGTAATTTCAAATCTGAGTGACTGTAGCTAAAGCCAAAAGGTACCTTTGGCATACCAAGACCTGACGTGCATATTCTATAGGTGTTGTTGATTTTAGCTTGTACTGGAAGGATCTAATCCTATTACTATCACCAATAGCAGTTTTCTTTTCCAAGTGAGGACACTATCGGGAATGGTCAATGTAGTTAGCATGCCTAGGAAAAAGTTGCCATCTAAGAGAGTTTGCTCATCTAATATTTCCTTTAATGGGTGTGTTTATCATATATTAAGTTTAAAAGAGAGATTTGTGTTTGTTTCAGAGCATTTATTATTCTCTAGACTGCATAGAGAGTTTGTCTATGTGGAATAATTGTCATTTAATATATAATTCTGCCTTAGAACCTAATATTGTTGTGTGCTCGAATTATCAAAACACATTTTTATAGTCATCTTTATGATTGTTGGCTTGTTCTTCTTTTTTTTGTCCCTGTTAGTTTCTTTAGCTTGTTTCTTTTTACCACCATCTCTAACGGACCACATAAATGAATAGCGAACAAGAGAGGCAAATGATTGCAGAGGAAGATAGTTGTGGTGGCCCAAAGACTGCTGGTAAATATCAAGAGAGATTCTATGGGCTTATTTGGTTGGGAACTATTTTTCCTTGTAGTTTAATGTTAGAAAATAATATAAATCATATTTCAAGGCTTTACGTAATAGCTTAGGATTTTGCGTTCATATGTTTCTTAACAATTACCTGGTGATGGTGATATTATCACCCAGCCTGTTACTTGCTGGGTTTAAATACATACGAGCTTATTCACAAACATCAAAGTGGCTGTCAGCAAAATGTAGTGTCCGAACTCATTTAAACTCCTGAAAAACCAGTAAATCAACTTGTTCTAAGTTAGCATCTCATGCTAACATTAGATTCATTTCTCGTGTGGTTGTATGGTGTTCCGTCATGATATATGCATCTGCTTCAATGACTATTCTTCTCAATGTCTTAACTACAACATCCTTTCTCAAGTTCTTTATGTTCTTACCGCTTCCAGAATACCAGTTATGCTGGGAAGCACTTCAAAGTTCCATGGTTTTATCGATTCCCTTGTTGGGGTGTAATGGGTTAGCTCATTATCACGAGACCAACAGGAGGATTCTGATACCGCTGCATGAATCAATTATGGAAACCATCTTGGAGGTTAAAATTGCAATTCCATGAGTGTAATAGAATCAAAGTTCCGAATACTACTTAATAGAATCAAAGTTCCGAATACTACTTAATAGAATCAAAGTTCCGAATACTACTTAATAGAATCAAAGTTCCGAATACTACTTTCTTTCTCTATTCAAGATTACATACCCTCATATCTAATGGACAAAAATATAAGAACATGATGTATTTATAAGAAAGTTGATTTCAGTATTCCTTTGCTTGCGTTAAGGCTAAATTCTAGTAATCTTTTCTGTGTCTTGCAGATATGGAAGCAGCTTCTTGAAAGGATAGATGAGATGTTCCATGCGTCTTGTTGGTTGCATGATCATTTCTTTGAAAAATGCTTGGTATTACTGTTCTCTGTCAGCTTAATACTACATTTCGAAATGTGCAGTTTACTTAAATGTGTAGTTTGGATGATGGATCGGTGATGATGAACTGCTCTTTTGGAGGTCTTAGTGTAAATAAGTTGCGCTTTTTTGATGGACTGGCGAAATATCTGCTAAGAACCTCATCTACTTGTATGCATATTTGGTTTTCTTTATTTCCAATATGTTTTAGTAAATGTGAACTGATTGGGAAATGAACGGCTTTTAGAGCTTGAACAGGCAGGTAATTGATGACCTGCTAAATTAAACAAGAGTAAAATCTAATATAGTTAAGTTAGTCATGGTTTTGAATATAGAATGAAGTCAGTAAGGGTTGGTATAATTCTGAATGAGAAATTACAAGTCGGTGGGATGTTGCGAAACAAAAGCTGAAAGAGATATCTTCAGTTACACGAGGCTCCTTTTCTTTCTCTCAGGAGACTTATCAATGGTTCTTGGGGTGATATAAAGAAAATAACAAGCCTTTATCTGTTCACATCTGATTGTTTAAATCGCACCTTAATTTTAGAGTAGAAATACGAGGATAATGACAATTACAAGCGCGAGAAGCAAGTTATGGATCCTCTAAAGTTCTCAGGAAATGAGAATTGTTATGAAGATGATCTGCAGGAAGTTGACCAGCATGTTTATCTACTCTTATGAGCAATGATGAACGAAGACGTGCTGGCATTGTCCATGCATGTAGTAAGAGTGACAATCGATCTTGAAAGCTGGTGATTGATGGAGGAATTACCAATGAATGTGGTTTTGAAGATTGTTGGGGAGGTTGGATTTGAAAGTCGAGAAGCATCCAATTCCTTTTCGAGTAGCATGTATTAATGAGACTATTATAACTGTGGCTAAAATACGTTTTTATTCCGAAGACTATAAAAATGGAATTTACGATGATATATAGTGTTTTATTTATGGATGAAGTTGCATTTTTTTTTATTGGTTGTCTTTAGGCCATAAACAAAAATAAATAGAGCAATTTAATAAACCAAGGCAGAGATAAATTGTGGCTCTGATACCAAATGTAAAACTTAATTTTTGATTCTTTGATGCGGAATAAATATGTTTATAATAGAATTGTAAGTCTTAATAACAAGGAAACAATACCTCCAGCCATTGATGTTCCTCATGTATTTGCTGCTCTCTTTATATATATATTTGGCACTTCCAAACTCTACTCACTCTATATAAATGGTATAAAACTTAAGATAATTGAGTTAGTGAGTATGGGGACCAAATAACATTAGTTATAATCAAAACTTTCATCAAGCTTTAATGGTTATATGTTACACATACTTATTATATTATAGATAGTTACAAGTGAAACACTTTAAGAGTTGATGAATGTTATATCTTTAAAGTGAACCACTTAAAGAATTCATAAATATAAATGTTATATTCTTAAAGTGAATCACTTTAAGATCTCATAAATATAAAGGTTATAATTTTTAGAGTGGATCACTTTAATAGTTCATAAGTATGAATTTAATAATTCATAAGTACGAAGGAAAATTAGAGAGTCGTTTATAATTACTTTATAAAAAATGGTCAACAATTATTTCATTAAACAGTGGAATCAAATTATAATTAACTCATTGAAAATTGAAGGGTCATATATAGTCATTTCGTAACATGGGATAGATTGCTGCATGATTAACGGTGAAATGGCAGCCAAATGCTGCCTTCATCCTCGACCATAGCTGGTCTACTTTTTTTCTCTTCATTCAAACTTAACAAATGCTAGCTCTTCCCTTTCCTAGTCATGATTCTCATGGCAATCCAATGCAGAAAACATGTACAGATTGGCAAGCTGGTACAGTTCGAAGGAAAGCCATATAATTAGGGCTAACTTTTTTGGGTATTTAGAATGTGTTTCGTGAGTCCGATCATCCTCATCTGTCAAAAGAGGTGAGCTAGCCGTTAGTCAAATATGGCGTTCTCTCCATGTCTTAATTAACCATTTCAGTGGTAATCATCAAACCCTTCTTTCAAGCTTTTTAAAGGGATTTTGGACATTTCAGGGTCACATAACACACCTTATATATGCTATATAACTAAAATCCTGCAAGACTTGCACAAATTAACAATATTCTTTTTCTTATCAAGCAAAAACAAACTATATACTTTCCCCTTTCAAAGTTGACTCTAGAGACTATTTCGCATGAGGACTTTTTTGTTTTTTTGAGATTATATATAACTGTAACTCGATGAGAGGAATTTTTAATCAATTGTTATACATATAATTTAGCAAATCAATCATCCTAACTCAAAGTGATGAATTAAATTAATGATGTATTCATGATAAGTTTATTTATTGGAGTCTTTTCTTGAATTTCATTCTGAATGATAATATAAAAAACAAGTTCATTATCAACTATGCAAATTAGGCATACAAAACAAAATTGTCATTGATAAGTGGTTAGTTCAAATTTGATAGTACTAATTGTAATTAAATTAAAAATAAAAAGAAAGTTATGTGTTGTTTGGTATTATGGTATAACATATTTTTTATTTGAAAATATATTAAAATAATTTTTTAATATCAGTACATTAAAATCATAAAAATCACTAAAAAAATATTAATTTTATTATACATAAAATTTAGTAAATCATCCTAACTCAAAGTGATGAATTAAATTCATAAGAAATTTATTTATCATCATCTTTGGAAATGATAATACAAAAACAAGTTCATTCATCTAATAAAATAACAAGTATTTAAGTTAGGCATACAAAACAAAATTGTCAACGACAAGTAGATAGGTCAAGTTTGAGTGCTAATTGCAATTCAATTAAAAATAAAAAGAAAGCTACGTGTTGTGTTGTGGTGTAAAGTAATTTTAAAAAATATTTTTTATTTAAAAATATATAATAATAATTTTTTAAAATTTTTTTATATCATCACATTAAAATCATTAAAAATAATTATTTTTTATATCAATAAAAATATATTTTTTAAAAATCAATTATTGTCAAAACGGTGTCCGACGGGGGTGGCATGGCATGACTCAGATTTTTATACATTGAAGCTCAACGCAATGCTTTCAAGAAGAAAGAAAACGTTACTGTCAAACTTGCTAGAAACTGAGCTCATTTCATTTTCCAGCAAATCATTTCGCAAGGGACTTATGGCCACTGTTTCAATGAAGATAAACCTTCTTGGGACCTCAGAAATTGACCAGTGACAGAGATATGCCAAACATTACTCATTCATTCTTGGATTTCTTCCTTCTCCCAATCAATCGAGCCCTCCCAATTTCATCAGCCTCCTGGTTCTAAAGGCATTATGAAGCACCAAATTCTTGAGACTCATCCAATAAAAGGAGTGACCCTTGATGGATCGAGACGTCGAGTGTGGAATAAGCTGGCATCACTTTGCTGGTGTGACGAAGGGGAAGTAGGGCAATGCAAGAGGGCATCACATGGTCAATTTTTATGTGATAGTATTCCAGAGAATAACGATCGAGCAAGAAGTGGCTACCATTTAAAGTTACAAAGGCCACGAACACTCTGAAGAATAAATGAATAATTCAGTTTCTGGCAGCTTTCCATAGCCATCACAAACAGAATCAAAACGTCAACAAAGGTGAAAGGTGACATAAATATCTCTGACATTATTGGCGGTGGATGTTTATTTTCTGAGCTATAAAATATTTCTCGTTAATGATTTGCCTTCATCGTTAATTAGAGAGTAAGTTATATATAGTCAATAGATTTTCAAAATTACTCTTATTATCATTTAACCAGGTTGTGTATCCCGGTGATCAAATAAAGATAAAATAAATAAATTATATATTAAAGTTTCATTTAAATATTTATATTTTTTAATATGATGTTAAAATTTGGATGATAACATATAATTTATTTAAATATTTATAGAATCACCCCAATAAATATCATTAAATTAAATTACATAACAGTAATGGATTTCTTTTTCAGGATTTCTTCCTAAATAGTAATCAACTGTCCACTCTCGTGATTCCATCATTATGTTCTTAAATAAACTGATAATTGCTTTAAAAAAAGCTTCACGAGGAAAATTATCCATGATCAAACATGGCTTATGATGGCACGTTCAGCTGTCGGAAAATTAATTAACTATTATAATTGTAATCACATAATAACATTTTTTTAATGTCCTCCAATAATCTAGCTTCAATCTGCTTACATAAACCTCCCAAATCTTGATTTTATGTGGTCGGACGCTGTGCATTAATTTATATTATTTTTTTATATATAATTTTTCTATGATATCCTCGAATTAATTTTCTCTATTAAAATCAAATTATTTTTTTTATCAGGTTTAGACTTCCATCTAAATTAGTAATCATAAATTCAAAATATTTCTTTTTTCTTCAAAATCTCAAATTAAACCGAAATAAAAGATAAAACTATCAAAAACTAGCCAATTCTCAATAGATGACAAAGAGAGGTAGAAAGATTGATCTTAAGCTCAAGTGGAGGTCACAATCTGAAGATATTTTGTGTCTTTTAGATTGCGGTTAAAATAGAGGTAGTTAAAATTTAATTTTTTTTGTTGAAATTATTTTTTTTATATTTTTAAATCATTGTAATGTATTAATATTAAAAATAAATTTTAAAAAAGAATTGATATCACAGTTCTAAACACGCAATCATCGTGTTCCAGCAACAAATTATTCATTAGTGTATGGAAACCATGTCCTGATCTTCTCTTGGCAGGAATGATTTTTCTTTTTTAATTTAAATTCTAATACCACGCATGTGGCCCAGATGAGGCACTAGTCTCACCTGAAACCATTCAATTTTTTATTACCGCATCATAAAAGAATTGAAAGGAAGGCAATGAAACAAAGAACAGCAGCTAGGAGTACTTCAGCAACAAAACTTGTGATTCTTGCAGAAGAAACAATGAAGGCATACCACCATCAACCCCAGAGTCAATGGATTTTATCATGATCTGCTACGTTTATATTCGTTGGTCAAAGAATCAAAACCATTTCCTCTAAGTAAATGAGATAGATGATGGTATCCACATTCCTTCTAGAGTAGGGTCCCACATTCAGTTGGGGACGAAATCTGCACCACAGAAGAAGTTTCTGACATGGACCATTCAAAGACCTGGTGATTCCATCATGTCATGTTGAAAATCTAGGACAATTTCTTGAAGAAAAACTGAACCAAAACTTGTAGAATTGTGCAACTAGAATTTTACAATAAAATTTGTATTTCAGTCTGGAGGAAGATATATGCTTTGCTGCAGGAACTTGTGATTAATGCAATACAATAGTCTTAGTGGAAGGTTAAATTTCAGAGAGTAAATAAAGATCATTCTAAGATTGAAGTTACAACAACTTCGCTAGTACAGAAAAATTACCTGGCTATTACAATCCAGTGAAAATCATCCTTCAGCAAATCCAGGTTCTTGATTTGCTGAGCTTGTTGTGATATGGGAAATTTTAGCTATCCTTAAGCTCAAGGTACCCGTAAAATTTGATTCACTTGACTTCAACACATTCAGGTTATCTTGCAACAAGAAGCAGCCTAGCTACCCTACATGATCCTGATTCAGAAAAGAGAGTTATTTCTTTACAATCTTCAATTTCGCTTCAAGATTTATATGGGCTGGGATGAAAGATTTTGATTATCAAAATTAACATCAAACACAGATGACTCGTAGCCTAAACCCGATGAGAATTAGTAGGCTAAGGCACAGTTCCACGCCTGTGTTTCGAAGAAAATGCTCTTCTAGATTTTGATATCCCTCCATCACTGTCACAAAATCTGCTTGACCATTCTTCACTATCATTAGAAGGGCTTGAAACAGGCGGAGGCGGCGTAGAAGACCATGGAACTACTTGATTCTCTTCATCATCTTCACCCCCATGACCATTACCATCATCACCATTTTCTTCATCTTCATCTTCATCTTCATCTTCATCTTCATCACCATCTTCTTCTCTATCAAGATCATCATCATCATCACTGTCGCCTTCTTCGTCATCTTCGCTTACTCTTTCTTCTCTACAACTCGAGTTGTTTATGCAGTTGTTGCAGACAGAAAGGGTAGGGCCTAACTTGTGTCCGGTTCCCGTCCAGGGCGTGAGAGATTGACAAACATGACAAAGAAGTGATCTTGAATGTTTGGCAACAAGAAAATTTGCACTATGAACATTAGCATCACAATCCCAACATAGGTTGGCTTGATCTGATTCACAGTACACTTTTGCTAAAGAATCACAGAGCTCACACCTTTTCATTTCTTTCCTCTCTATTGGAGATGGACTTAATTAACCTGCAAATTTTTATGTGCATGTCCTGCTTTTATCTGTGTCTTTGTTTGGGCCTAAAAAAAACAAAACACATGGCTCAGGGCAACTTGCAAGTTGCAACTGTTCATATTTAAGACCTGCGTAGCTTTTTTATTTTTTTAATTCTTAAAATGAAAAAAAAGGGAAATTTTCTTTTGAAATTGGAAAATTGCACCGACTCCCTATTTCTTGTTGCTTAACTTCAGAAATTGTTTTTAGATAGATTTTGATGTTAGTATGCTGACTTTAATATATCTGATTAACTGTAATCTCGTGTCAACTTTTATCTTATAATAATTTAAGATTTTAATGCATTAAAAATGAAAAACAGGTTACATGATCTTTGATCAAAACGTTACAGTAAAAAATCATAAATTTAAGATATCAATGAGCATGTTCTTGCATATGAGGAATTACAAAGGAAGAAGTTTCACTTTTGAATTTCATCTCTAGGGATTCAAATCTAATAAAATCAAGTAACACTTATAAGGAAAAGGATATTGATAAGAATTCGATCGATAGAGTTCAATGCAATATTAAGAATTCGATCAAGTGGTATCCATCTCTCATCGCTTAAGAATTTTTTCAAAGTCAAATAAACAGTAAAGAAATTGTTTTAATAATGTCGACTTGCTGTAAAAAACCAATCCTCAGCCAACGGATTGTTCAAATTGACGTGCTATAGAAAGTAAAGCTTGTACAAGCCATCGTGAGGCAAAATTGTGAATAACGAGGATCGAGGATTGTGGATAGGGAGAGAAAGGGGTCTTGCTTTGTGTTCTATTGGGTGGGGATTAGGTTAACTATTGGACAAGTCAGTGCCCACCAAATCAAAAGGCTAACGTGGGGGTTGAAGTGAGGCACTTGAGGTCAAGCACTGGACCTAACCCCCTGGTCCCTGCTTTTCTTGCATTTAATTTCTTGCTCTTGTCCATGCATCAAGTTACAAGGCTATGTTGGAAGACAAATGCATAAAAGCTTTCAAATCTGCTTCTGTACCTATAAGAAACGCGATCGATGTTGATAGTGTTGTCGTCTCATGTCCAGATTATCCTCTTTCAGGTCAACAGTTTTTGAAATAGAGGTCCAATTCGAGCCAAAGACTCAATCAACATCTTAGATGATAAGTCAATCTGTCTTCAATAAGATCTTAAATAAAATAGCAGGTATATTTATTTAAGATCATCTAGGTCCTTTCATATGTTATGAACTCATTACAACAAAATTGAAAAACGTTAATGGCTAATTGAATATTCTGTGAGCATGTAAGTACTGTTTATTCTATCTCTAAACAGTAACATGTTAATTTTTTGATGAATTATTGATGATATTTATTTTATTTTTGATACTCTGTCAGAAATTTTGTTGGAAATTACTATTAGAACATATTTCATTGTTATGTCAGTCGGAAATTTTCAACATAAATTTTCTGTTGCTATTTACATCAGAAAGTAATGATAAAATATTTTTAATCTTTATTTTCATTATTATTTATTAATTTTCTGGTAATGGTTATATTCACATAGCATGGCATTTCCAATCCTCATTTTTAATGATGTAGCTCCCATTCTTCTTCATTAATATATAATTTAGTGGTGGTCTGTCTTACTATTAACCAACAAGTCCAAACGTTGGAGCTTTAACCTTTCAATATAACTTTCGAATCATTTTAAGTGAATAGATACATGAAAGATCTGATAGATTCAATTCGTTAGATATTTAAACGTTGGAATACCATATGTGATATGCTTGCCAGTACTCCCTGGAATAACAGATCTGTAAATTCCTCTGAATGAAAAACTATATATCAAGTACTTGGATTAATGGATTTTGAGGTTGATCCGGATCGCAGATGGCACGATAGAACAAATAACATTGGATGCCATTTCAAACATGTGACAAAGATCTGATGATCTAGACTGTCAAATCATGCAGAAATTGCATGCGGTGCTGCTGTGACCAGTGCATCATATGTGGAAGCAAGCTGGGGGTTTTATTTTTTCTGTAGCCAGGAAAGTGATGTATTGGCATCAAAACAATGTCATCATGAAATTGCATGGTGTGGCACATCTTACTTCAATGGCTATTTATAGGGTACTTGTTGCTTTATAGGATTTTAGGGCATCTAATATATATATATATTTCATTAGTGTGTATACTTTGTAATTTAAATGTTATGAGCATATAATAAAACTTGGTTAACCTCATGGTTCAACTCAGTTATCCACTAATCAAAATCTGGTTTTTTATTGGATTCAACTCAGTTATCCACTAATCAAAATCTAGTTTTTTATTGGATATGATGTCCTTTTTTATTGGCTATGATGTCCTTTTGAGTTATTTTTATAAGAAAAAATTTTTTATATTCCTTTTGAGTTATTTTTATAAGAAAAAAAAGTTTATATTAACTTAAGTCCTGAAACTCTTTATTTTTTTAAATTTGATATCAATTCAAGTTTTTTTATGTATATAAAAAAAGAATGAATTCATTTTGATCAACTCACTTAACTTATAATTTGAGCCAAGTCAATTTTCAAATCAAGTTTTATTCCAATGATTATGATTGACTAAGAATAATTCTTTTAATAGAAAAAAAAATTAAAAAAAAGCTTGTAGAATGAATGTTACAATGGATATCCACCTTCTTGTACAAACACAACAATCAGGTCTTCTCCTCAATGGTGAAGGTGTTAAAAATTAATATTGTACAAACAAAATAGCCAAACCCCTTTTGCAATAGGGACAATAATGTTAAAAAGACTCCGATGTAATCTCACCATCGAATAGCTTAGGAAACAAAGGATGAACATTTTGTGAATGTTTCGTGTCTTCTGTCAAGAAAATATGAATATGACATGATTATTCGCGTTGAATTTTTGAGAGGAAAGAATATGAAAACTGAAAGAAAACACGCAAAGGCCTGTATAATTAAGCTATATGATAATTGTCACTCACCAACCTCCATACATTCACTGATGACTTCAACTGCTTTTGTTATCAATCACAAACATTGAGTGACAGGTAATTAAGTGCGTGGTATATTTTCCAGGTAGGAGTACTAGCTAGATATCAATGGGGGTTAATTAGCATAAACAACTACGAAAACATGTCTGCAAAATAATAATCATGCACACCAAGAATTGTTGTACGAGGCACATGTCTCTTGTCTTCTTAACCACACAAATCCTAAATTCTAGAACAACTTCTTGATGACAAAATGACCTCTCTAGCTAGAAGCAGTTGGATTCATAAATTTGCATCTTAAAGAGGCATCCTTTTTAGTGATCTCTAGGTGGAAAGCATACAGCATTTCGAACCAGGGAATATGCTTCCATTTCTTTCCACACAGAAGGTTCACTAGCAAGGTCCCTTGTGCCATCCAAGTATTCCTGTTCCTCATCTTTTCCCTTTCTCTAAAGATTAGTGTCCATTATCATCACAACTCAGGCACAAATGAAACTTGGAGATGCATTTTGAAGCTGCACTTTAACCTAACTCGGACCTCGACGGGTCCGTATTTTGCACAGAAATAAGTTCTGCTGAGGTGATAAAAAAAGAAGAAGCTATCCCATTACTTCCCTGCACCCGTAAGCTGATCTAGAAGAGACTTTGTCCCCTCTAGGCCATCTATCATTGGGACTTGTAAAAGGATCTCCATATTATAGTCAGATTCCTTTCTCTGGCCATAGTTTGAGTTTCTTTCTCTTGCTGCCTAAGATTTGTTTTTTATATTCTAAGAATTGAATAAACTTTTCGATTATTTACATAGTTAATATTATGGAATACTGGCTTAACTTGCAGTTACCTAGGCTTATAATAAGAATAAAAAATTTAATCCTCCATAAAGCAGCCCCCAAACTACTACCGGAGACTTTTTATCCGCAACAACTCCTCCTGTTTTTTATTCATAATTTTAGGCCATAGTATTTTATTTTATTTTCTACCGTATATTTTTTGTTGATCTTGTTCATCTTAATTTATTCCTTTTAATAAAGGATTGATAATTATTTATGACCAGATGGAGAAAATTAACCTTAATTGCCAAAAGTCCCTTTCACAATGGGAATCTCAGTCCCCGTGTTTTCCGCTAACGCCGCTGACAGGGCTCCCTCTTTTCTTGTATTCTTGTCCATCTTCATTTATTCCTTTTAAAAAAGGATTGATGATTATTTCTGATTGGATGGAGAAAAATTAACTTTAATTGATGCTTTTGAATATTATATAATTAAAATTATTTTTATATAACTTGATTTTGACTCCCCTTTTAATTATACAGTACTTTTGCTTGCTGCCACTTAGATAATTTTTACGGTAAAAAAAATAAATATACAAGTTTTTTAAATTTTTTTAAAAGAAAATTCTAATTATAAATAAAAAAACCCATTAGTGGATTTAATTAAATATATTTAGAAGTATTAACGTATTTATACAATTCATCTCGTTTCAAATTGACTAATTTTTTTAACACAAAAGAATTAATGTGTTTTTTGATATTGAGGTAAAAACTTTAGCTATAAATAAAAAAATTGATGCTTATATATAATAACTTATAATAAATATCATATGCGTTAATAAAAATATTTAAAATCTCAAGTTATTTTTTAACATAGCAGGAAAATAAAATAATTTTTCAATTGCTATAATGAAATATCATTTTCTTAGTCTTTATATAATAATTTACCAAAAACAAAAGTGCAAATAATAAAATAAAATAAAAATTACAAAAGAATAAAGATAAGAACTAAAAAAATTGTATAAATAGGCCAAATGTAAAGTGATCAATATTAAAATAGTAAAAAAATAAAAAATAATATTTTTTTGAAAATAGTGTAAATAGAAAAATAAAAAAATAAAAAAAATAAAAATAGAAAAAAATGGTTATAAATAGGTCAAGTGAAAAATGATAAAAATTCTAAGTATGAATACAAAAAAATATAAGAAAAACTTCTTTTCTAAATAAATAAATAAAAACCCTAAAACAATTACAATTTTGTCACTGCTACAATACTATTACAGTAAAAACTTT